CCACCGTCTGGCGCATGATCCGCGCCATCCGCGGAGCCCCAAGGTTGCACTGCAGGCATGTCATTGCCTTTTCCTGCTTCCGTGGTCCGAGGGGGGGACACGCCACCAGCCATAGGTACCGAAGTATCCACATGCATCTCCACTGTGCCTCCGTCCACTCCCTTTCTGGCGGGAACCATTGCCCACGGGCCGTCCGCCCCTTCAGCAGGCGTGTCACGCCCGTCATATGCCACCTCACACCCGCCCGACTCCTTATTGTTTTCCACCTCTGTAGCCGTCTTCATCTCGCCCGCCTCATCCTTCCCGCAAGCACTCTTCTCGGGAAGTGACCCACACCCATCTTTCTGCCCCGCCATCTCCATCTTCCCTTCCGCGGTGCCGAGCTTCCCGCGCAAACTCGTGTCCTTCGCCGCCTCCTTCCGATCTACCTCTCCCTCTGCCACAGATTGCTTCGGTCCCTTTTTCTTCTCCTTGCCGTTAGCCTTCTTGTTCGTCGAGACCGCGCGCCGCTTCGCACCTGCCAACAAATGGAACGCTCGACATGGCGGTTAGGCCATGAGTAAGTACTCCCCATGTGCAACCACATACAACCAAGCGTGATCAGGGGTGAAGAAAGCTCACCCCTCTCAACAGCCTCGGGGTCGAGCTCATGAATGCTCTTCTTCTTGGGTGGCTTTCGTTTTTTTGGCGACCGCAATTTCTCTGGAACGTCATCGTATGGTGCGCCATCCTCCCCATCGTCGCTCTCGTCGTCACTGCTATAATCGCTACCATCTCCCTTCTTGCAGCCCCTAACAGAACATGGATGCCGTTTCCGGTACTCAAGGAGGGCCTCCTTCGTCTCGCTAGGCGTCACCTTGCGACCCTGGTGCTCCGCAGGACCATCCTCATCTCCCTCAATAACATAGGGGCCGTTCAGCTTGACGCTATTCCTGCGCTCTCTTTCTCCGCGCCTGAGGGTTTCGTTGGCCATTTTGGAGCAGGTGCAAGCCCTACAGCTAGACTGGGTGAAATGCTAATGGAAGGGATAGCACGAAATGGGCTACAAAAGAGTGGAGTGGATGTGGTACACAATCAGGAGTGGGTGGAGCAGCCAACGAGGGGGTGGAGATGATGGATCGGCCTGTGAGGCAACAGGACGAACCAACGGGGGAGGTTTGGTTGGGAGAGGAACTTCAATACAGTCAACCATCCGATAACGCCGTGATATGCGGGGAGGAGCAGTTTGCACGGCCAAGATTCATCGACCAGTCGACTTCTGCCTGGCTGTGTCAATCAACCTATCCCTCCTCGGGATTGTTACAAGGCTCACACCAAACCTCGAACCTGCTGCGTGCGCATCTGCCCAGCCATACGATGCAGAGAGCCTGCCTAAAGGCTTTTTTTAGGGCAGGCTACAATTTACGATGCTCGTGTTCACGTATAACCCAGCACGCTGTGCTTTCGTTCCAGCTGCAACATGCCCATCCCCCTATTGTTACTGAACTCCGTCGATGTTTATCGAGCAGAGGCGACCATTTGTTCAACATCCTAAACTTTGGGTGACGGGCCACTCTCACAAAAGTGGACTGCCAGCCTGGCATCGCAAAATAACAGGGGTGGTAGGTTGGGCCAGACCAGGCGAGACTTAGCCTACAAGGACAGATTGCACGTACACTCTCACCTGTTGTTGGCTTTGTACTGATAGAATAATACAAAGTTGAATTAATGGCCTCTTTCTGTTCAACCATTTTTACACCCGTGTTCGCTGCATTTATTAAATTGGGGTTTGATTTATGACATTTCCATTCATTTTAACATATTCCAGTGGTAAACATAATTGCAAGTTTCGCACATACCGTATTCTCCCGGATACAGTACCTGCCGGAATTAAGCTCCCATGGGTGGCTTGAACGGGTATGGGTGTTTAATTAGACTGGATCCAGTTACCACCCTACTTTTGGGGTTGAAATCAATTGAACACCCTCCCCCGAAACGGGCCACTACATTCCAGTGAATCTTCACTAAACAATCAGGAATTAGAGGTTAGCTAAACAACCTAAGCCTGCTTGGATGTCCTAGAGCTATATAAGGGGACCACAATACAAGCTACCACTACTCTAGCTCATGCTGCTACTGCCTCTGCCACGTGCTCTAGTCGTCCTCGTCATCATCTTCATCGTCGCCAGCATGCCACTCCTCAACATCACTCCCATCTGCCAGATCAGCCCACCAGTGGCTGTTATCATCCTCTTCAGCAATGCCTTCAGCCGGCCACTCCACACTGTCTTCAGCTCGTTGTGCTTTTGCTTCTGTCTCTGCCTCTGCTGTAGAGAGGTCGGCATCATCTGCTACTGCCGCTCTTGCTGCCGCTTCATCCATGTCGCCATCGGCTTCTGCTGCCGCCGTGGCATCATGCTCCTCGTCGTCGGCTAAGTCCTCGTCGACGTCGATCGTGCGGTCATACAGAGGGTTGACATAATCGCTCTCACCCCCTTGAACATGGACGTCGTCCAAGAGTTCCACGCCCGGCTTCTCGCGGAGGTGACGGAGAGCCAAGTTGTCCCCGGAGCCATCCAACGCGTTCGAGATCCCACAGGTGTTGAACGAATTCCGTATGAGCTGAGTCTGTGGCGGTGTTGTCGCCCTCGCCAGACGTGCGACTTGGGCTCCGAGAGGGCGACGATACTGTCGGTCGGGATGGATGGTGGAAGAATGCCTGCTGACCGTAAGGGCCTCTCTGAGATAGCACACGCAACATGCCTGTGCCATACGCCATGGCGGGAGCCTCTAACAGAAACCGAGTGGGGTGCATGAGACAGCCCTGTCAGGGGCTGTCTTGTAGGCATTCTGCTGCTGAATGGCGAAATGAGGCAAAAAGGTCAGGTAGACCCACTTCAAGAATGGGATGGAGGGGAAGGAAGGGACGTGCGTGACTCCTCGTCCCTATCGATCACGAACAGCCCCTTCACGAGCATCCAGCGTACGATTTTGTGCAATGGACGGTCGTGGGTGGGCCCTGAATGGAATCTCCCCTTGGATATCGTCAAGCAACGCTGTGATGGCACAGCGCTGCATGGAAGCAGCTAGGATGAGGCTTGCGGCACGCCTTCATTGGCTGATTTGCCAGCATTTCCGTGACTCAGCTGGTTTAGTCAACGACGTGGCTTGTGTATGGACCACATCGTCAGTTACGCGATGAGGTCACGGATTGTCGCTATCTGACTCAATACAAAGTGGTGTAATAAGCAGAAACATTTTGCAATTGGAAAACCCATATGGACGTTCCATAGAACCATAGTGTTATATTTTTCTTGCCTTTAATTCCACCCACCCCAAAGTTTTCATGAATTTTTATTAGCTCCCTAGGGTTCTATATCCGGGAGAGTACGGTACTTGAGTCCCACACCCTCATTAATTCGAACAGTAAGGTTTTTTAAGTACAGTAACCCAGACGACTCACACATGTTGCCGACACCGCAAAGGGGTTACAAATAGGCATTTGCAGCTACATGAGGAGCCATGCAACCAGTGGACTCCTCCAAAAGCATGGACCCGAATCAGATGGAGAAGTTCTTCTCCTTCATGTCAACCTACGAGCAGCCCTCGGCACCGGCTCAATCTGCACACAGCAACAACAACAGTGGGGTAGCCCCCATGAGTCTCGAAGGCACGTCATATGCAATAGGCATACCACCTAGACATGATCAAGCATACCATCTACTTCCGATGGACGTAAGTTGTTCAACCATAAATGTTATGAGTGTTCAGCAGCTTGGTACAGTACCGTGTGGACACTGCACGAGATGAACGCTTTCTGCAACGGGCAACATGGAGTCTACGCCTCGGTGTGGGAAAACATGACAAGGGTTTTTAGGAATATGATGTTGACCTAGATTCGTTGGAGCACGCGCATTCACCTCACAAGAAGATGAGGTTGACCTAGAGAGGCAGAATGTCCCTGACGCGTCAGCAGCTGCATGACCACATCCCTACTGCTCCGTCGACATGCAGATGGACGAAGACAACCCTCACGAAGTCCGGTCGTCGGCGAAGCGACGAAGTATAGCAGTGCCCGATTTAGCTCCTCGAGATGTTCTTGGTCCGGCTGCTTCAGGTGTGTCGCCAGTTGGCTAGCGCTGTACGACAGATCCAGTCGGCAGGTTACTGCTGCAAACAGGAGGCAGCCAAGGTTCTGTTGAAATTCCTGAATTTGCTTCGCGGGGAGCTTTGCGGAGGTGTCGCTGTTGTCGTTCCTGTAGCGATAGGGAGTCGCGACTGCGACCGGCATTAGTCCAAATTTCAGTGCACAACGCCTGCGTACTTTCTGGCGTGTAGGTATAGCGCCGAAGCGTCTTCGACAATGTTCAGACCCAGGTACTGGGTCACGGTGTCTGACATTGTGAGTGTTAAGTCGCTTTTCTGCTCCCGTTCGAACCAGATGACGACGTCGGTAGTGGAGCTGACGTAGAGCAGGTCATCGACATAGACGATGAGTATGACGAAATCCCCCCACTTTCTGTAGTCGGTACATCCCTTGGTCGTGGTAGATTTTCCGTGGCTGCGACGGCGAGTAGAATAGAAGCGGTCGATGGTTACCCGAGTCGCCTTACGTAAGGAATTCCCATTCCTTACTGAGTCGCCTGCTACCGCGTACACCCGAACACTCCGACTCGTCACGTTTGGCCTACATTTTCGACCCAACCCTTTCTCGAGTCGCGTCCGCCAGTGTCGCCACACTGCCGAACCTACCCACGTCCCGAGGTTATCGCCCTATTACGTCTACTCCTATATAACCTCGTGCTTTCATTGCATTAGCGACCATGTATTCTAACATTATAGTTTATTGGCATCTTCTAAATCATAACACCTTATCGAGTCGTAACAAGGGGATGTACCCCATGAAATACTGAAGCAATTTGACACCTCCTATTCTCCTGTATCATCATATAGACCTTGTATCCCTTTGCTATAGTAAATCATGTCTTCTTGTTATAATCACAATAGGCTCAGATGTGCCTAAAATGAGAGAAAATGTGCACAGTCAGAGTTCCGTCAGCCAGCTTCAAATATTGATGCCGATCTGAAGTGTACCTCAAACGGTGATCTGTAAATTGGATCTGGAGCGCGTTGTTGTCGCCTATGAGCAGCAAGTTGAATCATAAAATTCCATGAAGATTTGACGACGCTATGGCGGTTTGACTGGCAGGAGGTACTGCAGCCACTTTAGTCTTAGGAGTACAAACTTAGCAAGAAGAGTTCGAGAGGGAGATGGTTCCCAGCCTCTACATACCCCAAGAGCCGAGGTCCAGGTTGGTGGTACACCACCACAGGGTCCCCAACCATGAAGAGTCTCGAAACCAACCCTCCAAGGGGCTACACCAAGTGAAATGTAACACTACACGAAGTAACGTTACTATTTTCACTATTTAATATTTATCCGCGTCCCTTGGGCTTGAAATCTTGAGCTCTTGTTCCTGGATCTGCAAGATAAATTCTTCTTGAGTTGATGGGGGCTTGCTGCACACACCTGCGACACGATCGACACTTCACACTCGACAAAATAGAAAAAACACATGCGACACACAAACGACGACTTGACATGCGAGTTGTAAAAACTTGCTAATGTCTTGACCGACACAAACCACATTGTGATACACCATTCAAACACACACACAAGCACTGGATAGCAATGACATAGACTCACAATTCATTCCATGCCATGCATGCACACACACAAACAAGGACGACAAGCCGAGTGCAAGCCATAGGGTTGCACCAACAAACTCCCCCTCGGATTGTTGGCCTTAGAATCTGCTCCCCTTAGTTCAGAGCCATCCCAGCAAGCTTGCAACACTTCCAATGCTGCTGCTCAACCAGCCTCTTGGTCATCATATCAGCTGGCTGCGCCGTCGTCTTCACGTAGTGCAACTCCACTTCACCCGCGGTTACCATGCTCCTCACCCAATGCCACTTCACCTTCATGTGCTTGGTAAGGCCATGAAGAACGGGGTTCTTAGCCAATGCAATAGCACCCTGGCTATCACAGTAGAGTGGGGTAGGTCCTTGCTGCTCCTCCCCCAATTCAGCTAGCAAACGCCGCTGCCACACAACCTCTCTTATGGCACGGAAGAGTGCCATGTACTCGGACTCCACCGAGCTCAATGCTTGGTCCACTTGCTTCTTGCTCTCCCAAGCTGTTGGCCCTCCACCAACACAGCAGATGAAGCCTCCCACACTTGTCATGTCCTCTGGTTCTGATGCCCAAGATGCATCAGAGAAGGCGGTGAGAAAAAGCCTCCCGGGTTCGACTCCATCCGCACCCTTTTGACGCCTTTGTGCCGCCGCGGAGTATTGCAGTCCAACAGTTGCTGTTTGGCCAAGGTACTTGGCCACTCTCTCTCCAGCTGCTACCTGCTCTTCATTAGGGCATTGGACAACCCTAGCCAGCTGCCCGGTAGCAAAGGCTGCATCCGGCCTTGTGTGAACGGCCGCATACATGAGGCTGCCCACCAAGGAGTGAAAACGGCGCCTCTCCTCTTCACCAACACTTTCCTCCGCTGGTCCTTTCACACACTTGAACCCTGAGGGAAGAGGAGTAGCCACATGACCTTCACTCTTCCCAAAGTTTGCAGCCAAGGCCTCCAAGTACTTCTTTTGATGCACTCGCATCCACCGCTTCTCCACATCTCGCTCAATGTGAAGCCCAAGGTAGTAGTTGACGTCACCAAGGGTCTTGCACTTGAACTTGTCTTGAAGCTTCAGCATCACCTCCTTCACAAGGTCAGAGGAGGGTGAGAATATAAGGATGTCATCCACATAAACCACCATGAAGCTCCTCTGCTCCCCCTCGCCAAGCATGAACAACGATTGATCGGCCGTTGAGGGAGTGAAGCCGATCGCCTCCAAAACTTCCCGCAGCTTGATGTACCATTGCCTAGGGGCTTGCTTGAGGCCATAGAGTGCTTTCTTCAGCTTCCACACTCTGCCACTCCCATCATTGTACCCCTCTGGCTGCTCCATGTAGGTTTCTTCCTCCAAAACGCCGTTGAGGAAGGCCGTTACGATATCCATTTGCTTCACCACCCATCCTTTGATGGCCGCCGCGGCGAAGAGGGTTCGAAGGGTTGTACCCTTCACCACAGGAGCATACACTTCATTGTAGTCCTTCTTCTCTTGCTGCTGATACCCCTTGGCTACAAGTCTGCTCTTGTAGCGCTCGATGTTGCCGTCGGCGTCGGTCTTGCGCTTGAAGAGCCACTTGGAAGAGATCGCCTTACGCCCCGGAGGTAGGTTCACCAAGTCAAACGTGTCGTTCTCGATGATGCTCCCCATTTCTTCATCTGAGGCCTTCTTCCACTCCTTCCCATTGGGGCCCTCCCAAGCCTCCTTGGGATTTGTAGGCTCCCCCGGCATCTCCACCGGAGAGAAGAAGGCAAAGGCGCACTCCTCGCTTTCATCTTCCGCATCATCGCCTAGCATGAGAGCCGAACCGGTCAAGGTTGAGTTGGCTGGTCTTCCAAGCCGATCATAGCTCAACCTATTAGGGGGCTGAGTTCTCCTTCTCCCCCTTCCTTCCTCCTCTGCTGCAGGGACTTGAATGCTCTCATGGCATTGCGGTAAATCTGGTCGGTTCCCACGAGCACTTGTAGCACGAGGCGGAAGTGACGGTGCACGCTCATCACCTTGCTGCACCTCCTCCTCCTCTTCATCCCCATTCATTTGAGGAGATTGCCTCGTGACTGTGCTGCTGCTACTCAGCTCCAAGGGCAGCTCCACATGCTCCAAGCCGTTACTCTTCACCTCTCCAAGCCGCATACCAATCTTCGCTTGGTTCTCCGCCTTCCACTCCTTGTACGGTAAGTTCTCCATGAACTTGCAATCTCTGCTCACCAAGAACTTCTTGGTAAATGGGTCCCAAAGAAGCCATCCCTTGCTGTTTTGAGCCATGCCCAGGTGCACGGCCCATGTTGCCTTGGCATCAAGTTTGTTGTGCCGAAGTTTCTTAGGCACAAGTGCCATGCACATGCACCCGAACACCCGAAGCATATCCACCTTCGGCTTCCTTCCAATCCACTCCACATAGGGCACCCATTTGTCTTCTCCCACATGAGTCAAGGCTCTGTTCTTGGCCACACAAGCATGCCGCACCGCATCCGGCCAAAAGTAATTGGGAAGACCGGCTTCAATGAGAAGTCCCCGAGCCGTCTCCGTGAGTGTCCGATTCGCACGCTCGGCGATGCCGTTCATTGCAGGAGAGTAGGGCATGGTAAGAGAGTGCCTTATGCCCTGCTTCTTCAGCCAAGTTGAGAAATCCTTGCTCAGGAACTCTCCCCCACGGTCAGTGCGAATCGCCTTCACAAGTCGGTCTTGTTGCCGCTCCACCATCGGCAACCAATCGGTCTTCACCGTTTCAGCTACGTCACTCTTCTTTGGCAGCACATACACCCAAGTCATGCGAGTGTAGACGTCCACAATGGTGAGGAAGTACGCAGCTCCAGCAGCTCCAAGCTTCAAGGGGCCCACCACATCCATCACCACCTCATCAAGTGGTGCCTTCGCCGTTGTCTCCGAGCTATGGAACGGGTAGCGGGTGAACTTGGCTTGCATGCATGTTGGACAGCCAAGCACCTCATTGGGCTCCCCCTTGACACGTATCCCACTGACCATCTCTTGCTTAACTATCTGCTGCAAAATGGGCAATGCCACATGCCCCATTCGCCGATGCAAGGTCAGCCAATCACACTCTCCCGTAGCGGAAGTCGGGTTGGAGAAAGCGGCACTCGCAATCGTGTCCCACAAGCTCTCTCCTTTCTCCTTCGCCGCTGCTGCTTTGCTGATCTTAGGTTTCCCCTCCTCATTTCCACCACCTTTGGCTGCTGCACTACTCTCCTTGGGTTCACACGCCTTGCTGGTCTCTCCAAGATTGCACTCCTTCGAGTCACTCTTGGTGTCACTTTGTTTTCCGTGATCACCGCCACCATCCGCTTCACTCTTGGTGCTGACGCTTGCTGCCACTTGCCTCTCCTTAGGCATGGGGACCACTGGGATTTGCCACATCTCATTGTAGATGTCCCTGTCCTCATGAAGGTCCCAAAGCTTCCGCTCACCAAGCCGCGCGGTATAAGTTTTGGATCCCTTGGAAGATGTGTCCATGCCGGCCTTTTGCAAACGCCGCACAGAAATCAGGTTGGCTGCAAGGTTGGGCACCCAAAGCACGTTCATGAGGCCCACCATCTTCCCATCAGCACCCTTGAACATGGCCTTGCCCATGCCTTTCACCTCTGCTCGCTGCCCCAAAGCCGATGTGACATGCTTGACCGGCGACGGTTCGAGTTCGGTGAGCAAGTCCGCACGAGGTGTCATGCTATAGGTGGCGCCGCTATCGATCACCCAAAAGTCGAGAGAGTGAAGGGTGACCTTTCCCACAGTAGCTGGCTCCTCAAAGCCTTCCACACCTCCTGCTGCAGCTACCGCTTGCGTGGAGACAAAGAAGAATTGGCCCGGGTATCGATCTTCACTCGGGCCCGTCTCGTAGTCTCCACCTTTCATGCATGCCGCTTCACTTCCACGACCACCACGGCCTCCACGACCTCTGCCTCTTCCTCCCCTTGCTCCTCTGCCCTCTTGGCCTTGAGAAGGGGTCCATCCATCAGGCAATCTGTAGCAATCTCTCCACATGTGGCCGGTCTTGTGGCAAAAGTGGCATTCGCCATCAAATCGACCGCGCCCACGCCCGTTGCCATTGTTGTTGTTGTTGCTGCCATATCCTCCATTACCACGGCCTCCATTGAAGTTGCTGCTGCCAAATCTTCCTCCTCGCCCTCTGCCCCTTCCACGGCCGTGCCCACGGCCCATGCTTGCAACTCCGGCACCATCGGTACCCGCCAATTCACGACGACGGAAATCTTCTTGTAAGATTTCCCGCTTCACATCTTCGAGCGAGAGGCGGGGCAGATCTCGATTTAGGTTGATGATGAGCGAGGACCATGAGTCCGGAAGCAAGGCCAGCAGCTTGGTCTTCTTTTGAAGGTCACTGTAGTTCAGGTCAGCTCCTTCAAGCCGTGTCAACAAGTCGAAGAATTTATGCACTCCGTCCTCCACCGGTTCGCCTTCGTCAATTCGAAGGGCCGCCATTTGCCGCTCCAAAACCACAGCCACCGCCGCTGTTGCAGGAGCGTGTACACCCTTGAGAGCAGCCCATGCCTTTGGTCCCTTTGCTGGTTCACGCTGAAAAGGCTTGATGTGACGGATTTGGCTGCTCCCCAATGCTTGCCCAAGTAGAAGATAGCCTTGTGCGCTCTTCCGCACCCACGGGCTCTTCTCCGGGTCGTTCTCGGGGCGCTTCTCCGTTCCTTCCATCACCTCCAGCAGATCATAGTGGTCAAAGATGTTCTCCATCTTGAAGGACCACTCAGCAAAGTTGTCACCGTTGAACTTGTCAAGGCCAAACACTCTAGGCTCATCCCTAGAGGGGCCAAGGCTAGGTTGCACGGGAGCCATGGGTGGATCTTGGTGTTGACCTTGTGCTTGGGCGTCTTCTCTGCCTCCAGCACCTCTGCCACCCCCTTCCTCAGGTCTAGGCATGGTCGAGACAGCTCCAAGGGGCTCTGATACCACTTGTTATAAGCACAATAGGCTCAGATGTGCCTAAAATGAGAGAAAATGTGCACAGTCAGAGTTCCGTCAGCCAGCTTCAAATATTGATGCCGATCTGAAGTGTACCTCAAACGGTGATCTGTAAATTGGATCTGGAGCGCGTTGTTGTCGCCTATGAGCAGCAAGTTGAATCATAAAATTCCATGAAGATTTGACGACGCTATGGCGGTTTGACTGGCAGGAGGTACTGCAGCCACTTTAGTCTTAGGAGTACAAACTTAGCAAGAAGAGTTCGAGAGGGAGATGGTTCCCAGCCTCTACATACCCCAAGAGCCGAGGTCCAGGTTGGTGGTACACCACCACAGGGTCCCCAACCATGAAGAGTCTCGAAACCAACCCTCCAAGGGGCTACACCAAGTGAAATGTAACACTACACGAAGTAACGTTACTATTTTCACTATTTAATATTTATCCGCGTCCCTTGGGCTTGAAATCTTGAGCTCTTGTTCCTGGATCTGCAAGATAAATTCTTCTTGAGTTGATGGGGGCTTGCTGCACACACCTGCGACACGATCGACACTTCACACTCGACAAAATAGAAAAAACACATGCGACACACAAACGACGACTTGACATGCGAGTTGTAAAAACTTGCTAATGTCTTGACCGACACAAACCACATTGTGATACACCATTCAAACACACACACAAGCACTGGATAGCAATGACATAGACTCACAATTCATTCCATGCCATGCATGCACACACACAAACAAGGACGACAAGCCGAGTGCAAGCCATAGGGTTGCACCAACACTTCTTATATTTGAGTACTAGGGTTCAACCCAAGTGTTTTTTGGGGTTCCACGTAAGAGTACACAAAATACAATCCGGGGACAACTAGTATAGCAGATTGACCCAAAAAAGGTAGATTTCACCAAAATATGGACGAACAGATTGCATTCCGTTCAAGCTGACATCGCGGAAATCGAGATGCAAAATACCGGGTACTGGGGGAGGGTGAGCCGAGTGAACATGGTGCTGCGTTGCGTGCCCTCAAGCCCGACGTGGCAGCGAATCTTCACGTGGCGTGACGTGTCAGGTGCAGCCGTGGTGAAATGTATATGCCATTCTCTGACCCCTCGGGGGGATTCGTTTGTTTTTGGGGCACATCAATTTTATGTGGATTGCCCTTGTGAACCCGTAACAGTTAATGGCATGAATATCGTACACAGGGGGTTGTTCGTACTACGACTCATGTGTGTGTAAGGTAGCCCGCGGGATCTAGCCACCGCCTAGCGGCCATACGATTTCCTACCATCCTTGCACATCCGCAGTTTGGGACATCCGCGTGGGTACCCTTTTATCGTTATGTTTCTAGAAATCTCTGCCCTAAAAAAAGGCAGCACCTAGACGCTCCCTCAAGTTTGCGCATCCAAATCGCCACTGCCCTGGCCGAGGACCTGTTCCAGTGTCAACTTAGGGTTAGTACCTTCTAAACTCCATTTCGTCGCACAGCACGAGATACGACATACAGCATCTATCCATGGCCGCTCCTTCCGAGCCTAACAAGCCGCGTTTCCGAGCATTCAGCATGCCCTTGCCGTTGTACGACGGATGGCTGACCCTTGATCATTCGCATCTTGTAACTCTTCGCGGGTCCAACTGGATTTGTGGGCAGGTTATTGATTGGCTAGGCACGTGAGTTCACGTTCTCCCACCTCCCACCGCATGCTGGGATAGATTTCGGACCTACCTGGACTGAACGGTTCCTTTCCCATTGCAGAATGTTAAGCTACGAGTACTCCGAGCAAGATCAGCCATGGCTTTACACTTCCACGTACTTCTGGGGACTAGCGACCATGCTAGCGGACGGAACGAGCAAGAGCAACACCCACGGCATCAACATCTTCGATTACAAACATGTACTAGTACCGGTACACAAGGGGTAAGTACTTGTCTGACGAGTTGGTTCGCGGTATGCCTCAGCACACGGATTTTGTGGCCTGGGAAATGCTTCTTCGTGTAATTTCTATTCTAAACTTCCATTTATGCTGCGTGACAAGGCTGGCTTGGTGGGCATGGCAGTGACCATTGGAGCTTGGTCATCTTGCAGCTCGAGCGCACGCCCGTCGAAACCATCCCTGTCGCTTGCCAGATGTGGCATGCAGACTCAAAGGATATGCACACCAACATAGATGCTCCTCTTCGAGAGTAAGCAAAGCCACATACGCAGCTCGGCTAGTTGTCAGTTTCGATCTTCAAGTGCTGTCGCTTCTCCCACCCTGCCCAGATACCTCCGTCGACAGGTGGCTGCGCATTTTCCACACCTTCGACGACGAGATGTCAAAGCTTGGGCCTCAGAGATTCCGCTCCGTGTCATCAAGGTGAGTGCATGATGAGAGCTCGTTATCATGGGTGCCCATTTTCAAGCCACAGTTGCCATCTGAGTCTTGCCCGTTGCGTATAGCCCACATTCACTCAAGAGGCTTCCCACTTGTGGTTTTCTCTGTACAGGTGCCAAAGCAGGAGGGTACAGACGACTGTGGTGTTTACACTATGCGCTTCATGCATTACGTCGTGGAGACGGGCTTCGTAGACCTTTGGCATATCAATCTGATGGGAACCCCCAGGAACTGGCGCAGGCAATACCGCAAGGACCTTACTAGGTGGTCTAACTATTTTTCAAAGGTGGCTGAAAGTGCGGCTCTGTTGTCAGATGTAACTGCCGCAACTTAATTCGTCGCAATGACACTGTCACAAAGTAAGGTCGCACTGTTGCGAAGAGGATTTATTAATGACTGCTGCGTTTTTAATGTATAATCTGCATTGGCCAGCAGTTATTTTATAGGTCCATTACATATCATGAACAGTTGTACTGTAGTAACAACGCATTACGACAGATCACCCCGCATGTGAGGCATGAAATCCGCGGGGCGTACCCCTCGATGGATCTACACAGCTTTCGCCGATCACGTGGCTTACCGAGGTCAAACCCGAATTGTGCTCCCAGATCTGGGTCACGTCCGCCTGCTACTCCTCGCATGTTCTAGCGATGTTAGGACATCGCCTGCCATGTCGGCTGAAAAGTGCCGTTTCTGCCAGCGTTACTTCGTGTGTTACCAGACACTGCGCAGCCATCAGGTTACAAGTAAAAGATGCAGGCGACTACAAAACCGCGTCGCACGAGGGAAGTCTCTCTTTGGCCTACGAGTTAAGCGTGACAAAAACGGCATCTATAAGGTACACGACTATGGGTCCGCGCCGCTGCCCACACAGCCCACGGCAGGGATGCAGGACGCCTACATCCTGTCAGAACCAGGTCCAGATGTTAATATGACTCCGGCTGCGGAGGATGCTCATAGTGACTCGGTAGTGTTGGATCCGGAAGAACAGCCTGAGTTGCTCGACACTAGGGCCGAGGTTTGCATCTTGTCACGGAATCATGGATTCAGCAACGGGGCCATCACGGCAACAATCCGGCTGCTTAGGGATCCAGACTTAGACCCTTCGCAGCTAGAGGGGTGGAACTCACACCGGGACCTGGAGCGGTTCGAGGCTTCATTCGAGGTGGGGGAGGAGAACGAGTGGGTTGTCTCCGAGATCCCGGTTGATCACGAGGTCGAGTTCTTGACGTTTCGGCACCGAAATGTGCTCTCGGTGAGGACCCCTGGTGCACGAATAATTCATGCTGTCCTATGCACGTTGCCCTCGTACCGAGCTTTCTTGCACGCCTTTTTGCGACCTTCCCATAAACTCCACAGGTACTTAAGGCGATGTACACACGTCAGTCCGCGATCCAGGGCTTTCAGACAAAACCTGCCCAGTGGAAGGTGGGCAACGTGCGGCGTTACAGCACGGCAATGAACACTGATTTCATGCTGCAGGCCCAGGTACGTGTCACCCACATCCTGGCATACGTTCGAGATCACCCGTCAGTAGCCCATAGGTGATCTACTAGCCCAAATCCCTCATGCATTGAATGCATGCTCTACAGGAACGCATCAAGGACCGTGGAGAGGCGTTGGGAATAATTCTTTTCAGCGATCAAACCAATCTCTCCAACAATGGCCGACACACAGCCCACCCCGTGATGATGGCATTCGCAAACACGCCGGAGTGGGCAAGGTGGGCGGAGGGGGGCACGGAGATGATAGGCAATCTGCCTAACATTCCTGGTGACCTGTTCCCCGAACAGAAGTGTGCCGCCTTCCAAGATGCGCTGGACATTGTGGCAAACCCGCTCATGGAGACATCCCAGCTTGACGGGTGAGATGTCGTGTAGCAATGCAACGACTATGTTGTACCCCCCAGCATCCCCAGTGCGGCTCTCATCCTTGCATGCTACTTTTGCGGTTTCCAGGGGGGGGATACAGGTGGTGGATCATGCGGGGGGGGAGCACACGGTCTACCCGGTGCTCTATGCCTATGTGACTGATCACCCGGAGGGGTGCAAGGTTTCTTGCACGATGCAGTGCAAGTCCTTCAGGCCCTGCTCCATCTGCCTTGTGGATCGGGACAACCTGAACAAGGTCCAGCCGGACACTATCAACCGCACGGTGAAGGGACAGAAGCTCATCTACAAGAAGATGCAGCGAGCAGTACGAGCCAAGAAGAAGAAGGAGCTGGCCGCTCTTAAGGCCAAGTGGTCCACGCACCAAGTGCCTGTAGGTCGCCCATGCACTGCGTTTCCTAAGCTGCTGTAAGCTCCGTACCCGCATGCCATAACATTCCTGTCTTTGCATTCATGCCCTTGCATTCCTGCCCTTTGACCGAGTCCCATGCATCCCAACCCTTGCATTTCTGTGTAAGCAATCTTGTCTTTGCATTCCTGCATTTGCATTTGTATCTTTGCCTTCCTGTCTTTGCCTTCCTGCCTTTGCATTCCTGCCTTTGCATTCCTGTCTTTGCCTTCCTGCATTTGCATTCCTGCCTTTGCATTCCTGTCTTTGCATTCCCGCCTTTGCATTCATGCCCCTGCATTCCTGTATTTGCATTCCTGTCGTTGCATTCATGCCCATGCATTCCTGCCTTTGCATTCATATCGTGTCTGCTGTGCAGTGTGTGCTTTGGAAGTGGGAGTTCTCAACCACTTCGTGGGGCAACATCTACCTTGCTCTTCCGCCAGACATCATGCACATGATTGAACAGGGCTTCTGGCTCCATGCGATGCGGTGCTTGGCTGCCAAGCTGACGAGGAAGGAGCGGAAGATCTTGCTTGAGTACGTAGTGCCCGGTTGCTCTCTCTTGCCCCAAACACGCTTGGCCATGGAGGCTCTCTTCCACCCAGACCACTCATCCATGCCCACCCGCTTTCTCACACTCATGGCAGGCGTTTCAACGCTCTGAAGGCTGTGACGCCGTCATTCCTGCTCAGGCTCCCAGGGGCGTGGATGTACTTCACTACGACGGCGGGTTTCGCAGCAT